TTTCTGTCAGAGTTCTCTCAGCCCCACCTACCTCACAGGGTGTCTGTTGTGAGGAGGGGAAGGGAAAGGAGTTTGTAAGCCCTCTGAGACTCCCTTGGGTAGTGAAGGGTGGGGTATAAATCCAATCTCTTCTTCTTCTTTTTGTATTCTGAATGTATGTATCTGTGGTAAACAAAGGCCTAACAATCCTAACCCCCTGCACTACTCAACCCCGTGCTTGAGGAGCAAATCGTCATCACTACAGTTCTCTGTTTCAGAAGTTTCCTCTTTCTATTCCACCCACCTCTTATTTTAGGAGTGTCAGTATCATAAACACCTAAGATTTCAGAACAAAGTTTGAGTCCAGTGGCACCTTTAAGGCCAACAAACTTTAGTTCTGGGTATAAGCTTTCATGTGCATGCACACTTCTTCAGACCAACACGGCTACCCACCCAAACCTAAGATTTTACTTACGTTATTCAGTCCCAAATTATGTTTTCATCTTATCCACCAAAATTTCATTCATAGACATGTTCTAACTGTAAGGACCATGTAACACAAGACAATGTCCTCATGGAGCTACCTGTGCATAAGTACATGGGGTAGGCTCCTCCCAGTCCATTCTGCTGAGAGTAAGGTGATTCTCTAGTGCAAGAAAACTTCTGTGGGTGCTTTTTCCACCAGGAGAGGCAGCTCTTATGTATTAGTGAAACAGACTGGTAGGATCAAACCAATCTCTTAAAAATACAATGTAGTGTTGCACTTTTGAAGCATAGTACCAACATAAAACCATACACATAAAACCATACACATCTCAGAATTGTCCTTATAAATTACATTTCAACAGTCTGTTGATTTTCACAGTATGTCGTGATTAATAGTAACTCAGTTATAATTATGCCTAATTTTCACTTCCACAATACTATCAGCACTAACCTTTGAGATCTATATTTAAAGCCACCTTTAACTACAAAGACCTCTGTTCATTTTAGTCTGGAATGGACAAATAGTCCAGAAAAAGGTATTGAACATTTACAGATATGAAAGTAACAGAACTATGCTGATGTCTATACTCTAAATTAAATAACTGAATATTATTTTAATTTATGATTAAATTAATGTTGGTTTTTCTTTTTTTAAATAAGGGGAAAAAATCTGCCAAAACCCAACTTTACATGCTTTGTAGGTCAGACGTGCTGGGACATTTTGTTCTACGAACTCGCAGATTTTTGCCAACTGTATATTCCAAACCACAAATGGATTCCATTGTAACTCCTGGTATTACATAATCATAATAAGTGAAGTGATGAACTTCACTGTGTAAAGTAACTTCAGAATTCATGTAGCAACTAGACTTGTGCATGGGAGTTTGCTTTGTTTTTTTTCATTTTTATTATTAATTCCTAAAGGGACAGTTCCATTAATGGGTTGTTATGTATGATTTTGTTTTGGTATTGTTTCATTCATTACGTTTCATATTTATGATTCTTTTTCATTATTGAGTCTGTACTGTCAGGGTTTTCCATCTGAATTGGATAAAACTCAGGGGGATTGCAGTACCCTCCTAGGATATTTAAACTGCCATATATCAGACAGATAGAATATTGGGTACCCCTTTCTGAGGCAACAAAATGTGTCCGTGTTTAACATTAAAGTTTATGGGAGAATTGATTGGAAACAGTAACACATAAAATAGCTTGAGGGACTGGCACTGCAGCCATTTATCTAGAAGAACGGTAGCTTCGGCTTGCAGGGGAGACTTCCAGTGCCAGGTAAACTGCTACTAATGCTGGCTGCTGCTGCTTTTTCAAAACCATCCCGTCCTCTCTCTTTGCCTCTGCCACATGTGTCCCCACCATGTTGCAAATTCTTCTCACTAGAGTCAGAAAATTTATTTGTATTTATTTACATTATTTATAGTCTGCCTCTCTCACAGGGTCTCAAGGCAGCTTAGACACACTGAGCTAGGACAATCACAAAAAATGGGACATTCAATAACCAAATGCATTAGGATTTTAGAATTCTGGATCACCAGAAAGAACTGAAGCATAGCATAAGTATTCACATGACTCATTAAGCTGTAGAGAATTTACATAAGTAGGATCCTACTAACAATAAGCTAAACACAGCAGTATATATAGACCATAGTCCTTAATCACTTATCCAAGCATATTTGTAAAACCATTTTGTGCAGTGCTACCCTATTACCTGAGTAGAAAAACCCTCTTGAATAGCTCAGTTCTGCACAGTTTGTGGATCAGGCCAATGGCCAATCCAGTCCAACACACTGTGTCACACAATGGCCAAAACCCACACGCCATCAGGAGTTTCACCAGCAGGGCCAGAACTCCAGAAGCCCTCCCACTGTTGCTCCTCAAGCACCAAGAATATAGAGCATCACTGCCCTAGACATAGTGTTCCATTTCTACCTTGTGGCTAATAGCCACTGATGGACCTCTGTTCCATATGTTTATCCAGTCCTCTCTTGAAGCTGTCTATGCTCATAGCTGCCACCACCAGTTTTTGTGGCAGTGAACTGCATATGTTAATTACTCTTTGGGTGAAGAAGTACTTCCTTTCTTCTAAGCTTGCTGCTTATTAATTTCATTGAGTACCCGCGAGTTGTTGTATTGTCAGAAAGGGAGACAAATTAGTGTACAGGCAGTTGTTGATTTTGCTAATTTGCAGGTTGGCACTTGCAGAGGTCCCTGCTTACAGGAGCAAAGTTCTTGTGGCAGAACATAGGGAAAGTAGAGGCAGTCTCTTGTGGTGCAGCATCAGACTTCCCTGTTTCCAGGAATTCTCTTGCTGCACCACAAGAGGGAGCAAACTGCATTTTTGTTCCACGGACTGCAAATACCTCTGCGGAAACAAGTGAAAGTGGCAGAGGAATACAAATACAGGAGGGAGGAGACCCGTTTGTGCTGAAAACAATCTGGTGTTACACAGCATCAAGATCAAGGAAGAGGGAGTTAACTGGGCCTGCACACCGTCATTCCTTGAGATGGGACAGAGATTACAAGCAGTTCAAGTAAGAAAGGAGTTTGAGTAAGAAAGGAATAAAATAGTATAAAATAATATAGTATAAGATACTACAGTTTATGTACTTTACAAGAAGATTCTGCAAAGGGTGTCTCTCCCTCTGAGATCCCTAGAAACAGGCAAGCTGCAGTATGTAATCAGCTTCTGATTTGAAGTCCCACCCCATATGCTTCAGGATAGGACTACCTCACACATGCATGTAATCTTAGTGGCTACAGTCTGCAATAAATCAAGAAAAACCAGAGGCTCTCTCCCCACTTTTCCTAAGGAAAACCGGATTTTATGCCCTTATTACGAAAACACACCACAGAGAGACAGAAACTAAATGCAAAAACCAAAGCTCATGAACAAAACAAAAGAAAATCATGGGTTTCTTTTGTTATAGGCTGTTTAGATAGCAATTCGTTTTGTTTTCACATCCATTACTATAATTACAATGAAAGAAATGGGCAAGTCTAGCTGCAACTGTTATTTCATTGTACTGGGTCGTTCCCTACATTATGCTACAGGTTTTATTTTTGTATACTAGATTTATTTTATTGTATGTGTTATGATTTATTTCTTAAAACATTTATACGCTGCCTCTCCTCCTGCTTCAAGATGACTTACAGTAACAGTTAAAAACATTTCCAGTTAAAATAAGAATAAAATAGCAAACTCCAAATCTCTCCCTTCCTCCTCTCTTAAAAGATGCCATTCACACACACACACACACACACACACACACAGAGCCCTGGAAAAAAAGCAAGTCTTGCAACACTTCCTGAAGATCTCCAAAGAGGCAGCCACCCATACCTCTTCAGAAAGCCCACTTTACAGGGCAGGAGCTCAAGGGTGTAGACTTTCCAACACTTGCACCTGGCTGGATGACCTTGGGCAAGCCATAGCTCTGATAACAGCTGTTCTTGAAAAAGAGCAGTTTCTGTCAAGAGCTCTCTCAGCCCCACCTACCTCACAGGGTGTCTGTTGTGGGGAGGGGAAGGGAAAGGAGTATGTAAGCCGCTCTGAGACTCCTTCAGGTAGTGAAGGGTGAGGTATAAATCCAATCTCTTCTCTTCTAGCCAGACCCCAACGACTCAGAAAAAAAGCACGGTATGGGCAAAATCCTCTCCATAAAACCCTGGAGAACCACTGCCAGTCTGAGTAGACAATGATGACACTGATGGACTGATGGTAGAGAGACCATGCTTTGTGTGCCAAAGGATAAAGGTTTAAACCTAGGAGGTCTAAGAGAACAGGTGTTGGAAAGGGTCTTTGAAAGGCTGAGTCTCTCCTGGAAAATTTCGGGGATAGCCCCCGCCCCCAAGTCCCCCCAAAGTTGACGCCTATGGGAGCCATGAAGGAAAAGGCCTGGTCTTTGGTTGATGCCAGACAGGCTACTCTAACTTGTGGGACAGCCAACAGATGGCTGTTGCAGGGACATATGGAAGGACACAGTCCTTCAAATATATGGGTTCCAGGTCGTGAAGGGCTTTAAAGGTCACAACCAGCACCCTGAATTGAACTTGGAAACAGAACGGCAGTCAATGTAGCTGTTTTAAATTGAGAAACCTATGTTCCTGGCACCTAGTTCCTGACAACAGCTGCAGTATTCTGAACCAGTTGTAGTTTCCAAGTTGACTTCAAGGATAGATCCAAATAGAGTGCACTGGACTAATCCAACCATGAGGTAAGAGATACATGGATCAGTGTGGCCAGTTTGGCTGAGTATAGGTAATGAGAGAGCTGGCAAACCAGGCGCAGCTGACAGAAGGTACTCCTGGGACCATGCCAACCTGCAGGAATGACCAGATGCCAACCTGCATTTGTCAGGAACCACCTGTTTCTTTTAACAGAAAGCACAGCAAACATATGCTTCAAATTAATAAAGTTGATACCTATAACAATTTTTGATGGCTTTTTTGGAGAGAATTTCCCATAATAATAACGATGAGAATGAATGTTTCAGCATTCTTGTTATGGCAGTAGGAGAACCTACCTTCACACTGTCCTCGCCTGACCATTCGGAATCCGCTTTCACAATATTCACATCTATATGAACCAATGGTATTTACACAAAGGCCTTCCCCACAGGTATGAGGCCTGGCACATTCATCAACATCTAGGATATGAGAAACATAAAAAGTTAAAAGTAGGAAATATGGGAGTTCCCCATATTTTGAAAACAAACTATTTACTGAATGCTAGGTTTCAACTAGCTTCATGCTACAGAATACTTGAGATGTTAGAGCAGACCTTACATAAACAATGCAATAAATAAGCTGGGATTTCATTGATATTTTCAGTTACCTCATCTACAAGGTCCATTCATGGGCATTTCTGGTCAATTGCTTTCCATTTATGATTCCCATGCAGCTGGAGAGCCATTTCGGCAAATTCATCTTCCAAAAGACCCTCTCTCTGCATTTGTGGTGTCCTGCCACAATAACTCCTTGTGCAGGACTACTCAGGAAAATTTTAAAAACTAAATTCTCACTAAAATTATATAGAAAATCTTTTATTTTTACTGATGGGCAATTACATCTCATCTCATGTTGGGCCTTCCTCTTTTCGTACTGCCTTCGAATTTCCCTGGCATTATTGTCTTTTCCAGTGAGTCTGGAAAAGACAATAATGTACATGAATGGGCAGGCTCCTGTGTATCAGGCCCCTCCCAGGCTTTAAAATTATGACCGCCTCATTTTAGTCATTTTAGTTTGTAGGGGGAGCTCAGGCTTGATTTGCTCTAGAACCCACTTACTTGTCTTTTTGGTGGTCCATGGTATCTGTAAAACTCTCCTCCAACACCACATTTCAAATGAAGCTACTAGAGAGGGACAGCTGAAAATCTGGTATTTTTCAGGTTCAGTTTTCAGAAAGGGGACAAATACTGGCTTTGGTTGTTGTTATTCAGTCGCACAGTCGAGTCCGACTCTTTGCGACCCCATGGACCACATCACGCCAGGCCCTCCTGTCTTCCATCATCCTCTGGAATACAAATACTTGCATTCCGGGTTATTTGGGTCCCCAATGTCTGTTTGGTATTTGGATTGAGATTCTTTTCAAAATTCCAAAATTATTTGGGTCCCTTGTTTTGTAGGGGGGCTGGAGTGGCTGTTTTCAAAAATAAAAAAGTCACAAAAATCGCAGAGAACCTAGTCCTGCCTGTCCAGTAAGGAAACCACAAGTTTCAAGTAGATAGGGTCAAGTGTCCAGTTCTTTGGGCCCCTGAATAAGGTGCTACCAGCCATGCTCCATTGTTTCCTATGTGGAAAAATCCATGCTTTCTCCAGGACCAAGCAACCACTGGCTAAAAGCCTTCCAATGTAAACAGAACCAATAAGCCTAAGAGAACCAACATCAAACTAGAGAGTCCTAACAGAGCTGTGGGGCAACGTGGCAAGCTGAACATGACCAATAACAAACCAGAGCGCAAGCAAAACTAACTTAAGCAAGAAGCACTGTTGGACTAGTGTACAACCAGGGAATCCCAGCAGAACAACAGACCAATGTGGCAACTGGCAAGCCCATCGCAATAAGTGTGAAACCAGAGAATTCAAGGCAACCCAATCTGGCATCCCAAGACCTGACAAAGACACACTGTAAAATTGAAGAAAAACAGTCCTAGGAGCCTTAAAATGCTGGCCCTGGGTATTCCTGAATATTTCTGGAATTTTTTGGGATCCATTTGGGATCCCAGAAAATCCTGAATACTATTCAGATACATGAATATATCCAAAAAATGTCAGTGAGGTATTTTTCAGATACACATTTGTACAGGGAATATCCCAACACACAACCTTACTAACAACACTTAATGACTTGCTTACTACCATTTCACTCAGCGAATCTGAAACCTTCCTCCAGCCTCTAGTTACAGGAAGATGTTTTAGGCTGGAGGAAGGCCATAACCTTGTATATTAGATCACAAGAACCTTCTTTCATGAATGGAAGAGGATTCTGCTTGTACAAGGGGGAGATTTTCACCAATTAGCCCTTCCTGCTGCAGGCCCCCATATCATATCCCTATAATTTTTCCAAGGTCCTTCAGAATACCAGGCAGTGTAAAGGGCAGCAGATGGAAAGGGAAGGTGGGAGAGATCCATTCCAGAAACTCCGCTCTGCATGTACTCCTTTGAATTTAACCACACTAGCTTGATCTGCACATATATGGTGCTCTTCATAAAACAGGCCACGCTTGTGATTGAAGGCAACAATAAAAGAAACATCGAGAGTCTTTTCCTACTACGTCATCATATCACATTCATTCTGGATTTTGTGCCTATCACAGCCACTTGTGTTTTAAAAGCATGATTTATAATGCTTTAGGGGCAGCAATGAGTAATCATAGAAGAAGAAATACTCCTCACAGTGTTTTCCTATTGAACTCCTAGAAAATCCATCTAAGCTGTTATTTTTGGCAAGACCCATTAAAAGGTGATCATTCTTCAAAAATGACTTGATCTAAGCAAAGTGTAAATTTATCTGTGATGGCTGGCTGCCAAGAAGTGAGAAGCATTGGTGCTTGTAGATTTCCTTTATGAATCCTCTCCTGTCCCAACCTGGACACTGTACTTCTGAGTTCTGACTAGCAGCCATAATCTGCTGGCAGTTTAATTTTGTGAGAAAACTAGAGAAGAGTTCTTCATGAAAATGTATCTCCAAGGATACGTCAGACAAACCATAAGGAGAATATTCTGAAAGTTAAAAAATGGCTTTATATTCAACATTTGGTAGTCCTGTGGCCAAAGTTGCTTATTTCCCCACCCCACCCCCACCCCCAATGCCCTTAAAAATCAGTTTTGTGTGTGTGTAAAGAAAGGGTTGGAAACACTGAAAAGGTACACAAAAATTAGAAACAGACATCAGAAGAAAAGTTAGAAGCTTTGCCAAGAAACAGATCAGTGCTCTCAAGCATCCTGTTTTTTCCTTTGAGGCAAGATGAGACTGAAAAGGTCTTCCCACTATACACCAGTGAACAGGAAATAAGGGCCAATGCACGATACAATGTCTTGGTGGTCACCACAAGGACTTTGGATCATATGGGCACTGAGAGTTCCATTTCCCAGGCTTTTGGTGGCCACAATTTGGATCAGGGCTGCAGTGTGTGGTAGCTTCCTTCTGTGTTGTCTTTCCAACCTGGAATAGCCCAGGTTGCTGCTGTTTGCTCTATACTGGGGAATTTGCATGTAATGATGGCTACACAAATTTTACAGTGGAGCAGAAAGTGGCTCCAAGGAAGTTTCAAGTTGAGAAAATGGCGTGTGCTGAAAGCCCTTCTCCATGTTCACCATAGTACAAGCTGAATCAGGCCCACGTGTACCTAGGAAGCCCAGATCTCCCAGTTCATGTGTGATCCAACGTGGCAGCCATGAGAACACCATACTGTGTCACCCTGCCTCCAGATCCAACTGAGAGGAGCCACTCTCTCTCTCAGGTGCCCTTGCTCTGTGAAGGGGCGGGGAAGCCCCTAACCTATTGTATCAACTCAATTTAACATTACCAATGCATTCATCCAAATAATTTTAAAGAAAATTCTTTTTAAATACCACCATGACCTATATGACAATTTGAGAATTTGGCACCTGATGCAATGATTATATGTCAATGGAAACAGTTTTTGATTACATCAATTGATTTCAGCTCAGGGTCTTAATTAACTAGAGATCATTTTATCAAACACAGTAGTTACCAATACAGTCTGTTCCTTGTTCATTGGCCATGAACCCTGCCTGGCAAATGCAAAGGAAGCTTCCTTCTGTATTTTCACAACGCCCAAGGGAACAAAGATGGGGAGTCTGAGTACATTCATCAATATCTGTTTAAGACATAAAAATATATGCACATTGAAAAATCATTACTTCACTCTACCCACTGTATGCAAGTCACTAAAAAGACAAAACTGTGTTAGCACAAAATTTTCTCTCAGAAATGAACAAGAATGTGGTATAAACCTTTGACTCAACAAGTAGACTAACTGGCTTAAACATATGGGTAATAAGTTTATGAGGAAAAGAAACAAACAAAATGAATGTTTCTTCAAGGGGGCCCTGGACACTTACACATACAGGAATGCATTGTCAGGTTTTGGAAACTTCTAGAAACCAGGGTTAGCTTCCTTCTCCCCCATTTATTATTATTTACAAAATTTATATCACGCCTTTCTGCCCTCACAAAGGCCACCAAGGTGGCTAACAAATTAAAACATAAAAATCACATTTTAAAACCATTTAAAACTACCCTCTCCACAAAGCACACATTATTAAAACAATTTTAAAAAACAAAGCTAAAATACATACAAAGACATAAAAACAACAATTAAAAGATTGGGGAAGAAGGAGGGAATGCTAAACATATAAACAGAAATTTTCACCCACTGCTGGAAGATGACAACAGAAGGGGACAGACAAATCTCCCTGAGGAGACAGTTCCAGAGTTCTGGTGCCATGACCAAGCAGGTCCTCTTCCAGATTGCCACTTGGTTAATTTTAGAAGATGGGGGCACCCAAGACAGGGTCTCCAAAGATGTCTGTAGTGGTTGGGTGGGCATAAGGGAGAAGGCAATCCCTCAGGTATGTTGGTCCCAATCCATATAGGGCTTTGAAGGTCAAGACCAGCATTTTGAATTAGCCCTGGAAGCCACTGTAGATGGGGACTGGAATTATATGGTCCCTACCAATCCAGTCAACATCCTGGCTGCAGCATTCTATACTAACTGAAGTTTCTCAACACTTTTCAATGGCAGCCCCATGTACAGTTCATTGCCGTAATCTTATCTAGAAGCATGACTACTATAATAAAATCTGATGCAATGCTAGATAGGACTCCACTGAAAAGCCAGTTTGCAGCCTAAGAGTGCTGCTCGACTGAGCAGTCATCTTAAAAAACCAGGTGGCTGGTTATGGCTTGGAATGCTTTCCCCAACTTTGGCTGGTGCACCGGCAGTGCCCATTCCTGGCTCAGTCTGATCCAGCCACAGTGATCAATGCCTTAGTTATATCTAGACTGAACTACTGCAATGGGCTCTGCTCGGGACTTCCTTTGAAGAGTGTTTGGAAGCTGCAGCTAGTACAGAATACTGTGGCTAGACTGTTGGTCAGGACCAGCTACCAGGAGCATATGACCCCGATCCTGCAGGAATTACTGTGGCTACTGATCCACTCCTGAGCCCTATTCAAGGTGTTTGTTTTGTCCCTTAAAGCCCTACATGGTTTGGGACAAGGGTATCTGAAGGACTGTCTTCTCCCACACGTTCCTGGTTGGGAATTAAAATTGCAGGGAGAGGCCCTCCTGGCTAACCCACCAAAGAAGCTTGTCTGGTGGGTATATGAGAGGAGGTCTTTTTGGTGGCAGCCCCATGATTATGGAACAATCTCCCCAAGGTGCTGCCCTTCGCCACCTCACTGTTGATCTTCAGGAGGCAATTGAAGGCAGTTTTATTAAGGACTATATTTGACTGATTTAATTTTCATTTGCTGGCAGTCCTAACTGGAATTTTTAGATTGTGACCTTTTATGTATTTTTGTAATTGCTCTATTCAGTTTTATAAACATTTATATTGTAAGCTGCCTTGAGTTCTGCAAGAAAGGAAAGCGGCTAATAAATAGTTTAAATAAAAATAAAACAATAAATTAATGCAGAGGCAAGTCAGAATAATGATATTATCATACTACAGTTGATCACTTGGTGATCCTATGGGACTGAGAAAAAATACGAATGCTTTGATGCTCCCATTTACCCATTCTTCACTTCCCACCTCCTCAAATTCAACAAATGAATGGTGTTAATCTCGAAAACCCATAGATTATCTAGAGATTTGGGTCAGGACAAAATAAATTTTGTGAGCAAGCAAAAAGGACTTCCATATGTGCACACATGGAAGAAGCCTTCCCATTCCATCTTCCAGCTGCACCCCTGAATGCCAGATAAAATCTCACCAGTGGGTGTATAATTCTTCAGCATCATCAGCCATTTTTGAGGGAGAGATGAGCTATAATGGAGAAGGGGCTAGAGAATTCCTCACGCATGTTCCATATGCAACCAACTGTTCTGCACCTCCCCACATACATAATGGTATCAAAGGTTTTTCAGAGAAAGAGAGTGAGCAAAATTACATAGAAGCAGCAGTTCTAGAACCAAAATTAAATAAATAAATGATAGCCTCCACCTACAAATAAAAAAATTACATTTCTTTTTTTTCTTTAAACTTTTCATATTATGATAGTGTTAACAACTAGGGCTGGGGTGGCAAAGGGGAATTTGTCATACCAGAACATTTTGTTTGTTGATCATTAAGTCTGTAGCCCTCATAGCAGAAGCATGTATACCCAACAGGCAAGTTAACACAATGTCCTGATCCACAGATATCAGGGTTCACGGTGCATTCGTTGATTTCTAAAGAAAAAGAAAAACAAACCTACAGCAAACTATTTAAAATCTTATAGAAACCCAATGATTATTACCAGTTTAAAAAGGAAAAGTAAAATCCTTGGAACCTTTTGTGATTCAAACCAATGATTCTAAAGATGCCAGAGCAGCATACCTGCAACAGGCAATGAATAAACTTCCAGAAAGACTTCCAGCAGGTCCTCTATGCTATATTTACATGCATACCAAACATGCACAAATTAATGTGATATAATAGCCACTATATCTATTATTGTTCCTCAGGATGGTTGCCACTGAGTCTCGAGTTTGCCAAATGGTACGACTTCATCAATAAGGAAAATCTGAAAAACGATCTGGCAGGTGGTGAAATGATTGTGGTGAATTTGGGGTGTGGGGGGGGAAGGGTCTGAGGCAACTGTCTTCTTGACTGAAAAATATCCAATGCCCCCATTCTGGACCCTCCTATAGATTCTGTATCCCCCAGCCTCCCACAAACAAATAAAAAGGGGGCACGAGATTTAAATTAAAGATTAGTAGAGTGTAAGGTATGTGCTCCCTAAAGGCCTCTTATTTGGAAACTTGCTAGATTAATAGAGCTCACATTTCTTAGATTTTTTTTCTTGACAGATAAGACACAGATGGAGATGAGCAACACAGTATTTAATAAGGTAAATATGATGTGTGGATAACTTAGATATATAAAGTAAAGCTGGCTCTCAAATAAAGTAAATAGCTCCTAAGGGGAGATTTTATTCTCCTTTCTCTGGATTCCCCTTCAGCAGGTTCAAAGCTCCTCTTTCCCCTCACAGAGCACCTTACCACAGAACCTACACACACTAGTTAGGAATGATGATCCCTTAACAGGATGCTTATTTTTACCACTAAAATAAGCTTTCTTCCCTAAACTGACCCCCAAACCCTAACTAAAAAACTAAATAAAAGTCTGGCTAAGCTGATGCTCCTTTCCAGAAATCCCTACCAAAAAGATAGGAAAGATCTGCAATCTTTACTTGAGCATGGGTAATACAGTCTAACAGAATACCAGTATGTTAGAAGGTTTGATACAAACCTTAAGTTTCCTGCAGATTGTCCTCTTGAATTTCCTGCTCAGCTCTTGTTTTCTGAAGTAGACTGAGGGCCTAACTATATGACATGTTTTTCACCAGATCAAATATGGTTTGCAAATTCTGTGATGGGAAATTAATCCCAAATACAAACAAGCTCAATTCAGATTGAGACCAGGATTCCTGAGGAGAGGGAACTTCAGCCTCAGCCCCCAAGCCTCGAATGGTCTCTATCCCACTGGGGGCTTCATGCAGGTGAAATAGTACCCCCTCTAACCATTAGAGGTCAGGAAAAGGGCACTGGGGGAAGATGAAAGCAGTTCTCTGCAGAACAAACATAACACTGCAATGCTTCAAATTTTATCTTGCTTTAGGACTGTTACAAGCAAATGGAACAAGTTTAGACAGGTCTTGGAGGCACCTTCCCACCTCAGAACCTGAACTGGAATGAAGCACGCCTAGTAGAATAGTTTCTGTTGGCTTGAGGGATCATACCCTGGATGTTCTAACCTGTGATAAGCAGCCCCAAATGCTGTCACAGTTAAATCACATTGAGCCCTCTTACTGAAGAATGGCTGCAGTCACTAGGTCCCTGTCAAGGATCAACTGATCCAACTATGCTTTTGGTGCTGATTCCTTTACCACAAGTCACTGCTATTGAGACAGAACGAATGTAACAGGGATCAGCCCAACGCTGACTGAGCCTGTCCAAAAGGAACTAGTGGTATTAGCAGAGGCTTTGTCTCATCTATGGGCCATTTCTTCAGTGCTTGCCTGAACAAGTGCCCATCAGCTCTGATGCTGGGAAAACACACATCCATGTTGTAATGTGGCATGCAGTTAAATGGCAGAATGCCAAAGATCTCTGTTTAATCATGGCGAGGCTGCTTTTCACAGAATCTGCCACTCTTCATCTTGTAGTAGACAGATGAATCCAGTTGGCCACTGTAAAGACTACAGGGCATTAAGAAATTTTATCAACACCACAGTTATGATCCAGCCATCCTTCTATAGTGACATCAAACCAGTTCCCATAATAGTGGAGATCACTGATGATAGATGGGACCAACCAACCATAAAATCAGTCATGGATGATAGTACTATATGAACACCTAATATTTTCTCTCATCCTGGGAATCTGTTAGCTGGCAGTGGATGATCTAAAATCTCATATCTCCTGGAAGATCCACAATTTGATGTTTTTGCTTAAAACACTGCCACTAGCATGGGCTGCAACCCCCCCCCCCATTCTGATTACTATGTCTTCTACTATGTCTTCTCCTAAGCCACCAAAGCCTACGCTCACTGGGAAATACCGTGACTACCAGGCTGTACTGAAGCACAGAAAAGGAAGATTACAGATCCCTACACTACTAACTTTGTTCCTGGGTTATTAAAGCCCATGTCCTGTTCTGTTCATTCAAGAAAAATGTCCAAAAAGCCCACTGGCTGTTGGACTCTCAAAATATACCCACTGAGTCCCTATTACACAAGGAGACTATTAAAAAGTGTTAATATAAAATACATTAATATAGAAAGAGTTAACGCAGAGAACAATGTGTCGTGTTTAAAACATCCGTATTTAAAAATTGAGATAAAAATCGAAATCTGTCCTAAAGACAACAATATACTGGCACAAATGCTCAAAGCTGCTGAAATGTATTCAAGCAACAGCTTCTGTAACCTTTCTGTCACTACCTGAAAGAATACTTAAAAGATGGTAATCTGCAGAATGGTGAGGATGAATTGCCAGAACAAGGACAAGCAGGGATGCTCTGTGTTTAGAACACAACTTGCAAGGAAAAAAAGAAGTGGGATTGACTCCAATGCCTGGCTCCACATATGCATTGTCTCCCAGAGAATCCCTACAAACCTACCATGAAGCTCTGACAAATGGAGCACATTAAATTATGCCAATGGCGGGGAAAAACCCTTTGATAGATGGGAACCAGAGATAAAATAATTACTACAGGTAAAGGAGGATGAAGGCATGAAGCCCAAAAACATAGGAGAGCATTCAGCATCAGCTAAATGATGCTGCCAATCAGGTTCTTCAAGCTTTCCAACAACAGAAGTACAAGCTTTATGTAGACCCAGTGCTTCTAAATTAGTCAGAGAGAGAAACCTCTATCAGTGTTTTTTCCTTACAAAAAGCTTCCAAGCACTAGTAAAAGGGTCTGTTTGAAGCCACAGCAGTCCTGAGAAACACTATATATACCAGACGGTATTGACGTTCAGGGGAGGCAGATTTCAGATCCATGCACCGACTTTGTCCTAGGCCTGTATACTTCTGGTGTACCTGTACTCTTTATCTAACCAAGAAGTTGCTGCCCTATGAGAGTACATAGAGAAAAACTTCCACTTAGTCTGCATCCATACTCCAGTTCTACAGATTACTGGAATTTGAATGTTGCTGCAAAAAAGAAAAAAAGAAAAATCACTGCCTGTTACAATGAATCCCTGAACTTTTAAGTGTAAGAGAATGGAGAATATCTAAACCAAATTAAACCTGTATGGGACACACAATCTTGTTGCATCAAAGGGTGGAAATCAGCATTTGGAATGCATTATTGTCACTCTTATTAATCACATGTTTGATCAGCCAATGCACTGCAATTTACAGAAATAACACACTCAACTATTTAGAGTCTATCTCATGCAGAATATGGTCTTGTACTCTAGTGGCCAGATGAGCACCACTCATATGCAATACTGGTGAACTGTGCCTTTGACCTAACAACCATGCAACAAAATAGTACAAACCTGTTTGAATAACAGAACACCCTCTCACATATAAAGGAATAATTTGTTTTCTATGAGCATCCTTGTGATCATTCACAACTGTCCTTTCTTGCTCCCATTAATTTTTAGAAATTATTGAGTGCACAAAATATAACGGGTGGCTAAGACAAAACTTGTAGCTGAATCCATATGAGACAGAAGTCCTGTTTACATGTTACAAATGAACAAATGTACAACCTGCGTGCATTTATTTTATTTATTTATTATTTTATTAGTTCGATTTATACCCCGCCCTTCCCGCCAAGGCGGGCTCAGGGCGGCTTACATAAAATGCATATATAAATACAGTTAAAAACATACATAAAACATCCAAGAACTATCAGAAACCATTTTCGAAAGTGCTGAAAAGAAATAAAGTGCAGAGCGGAGATTCCTAAAACCAACCGTATCACTATGAATGCACGTTTTTTCTTGAGCGACTCAAAATCTAAGTTTGCCCAACAAAACCTACCACTCTCTGCTAGAAGGAAAGCCCAATTCGCAGCAGGTCCCTATTTCTTTCCTCCACCTCCAGTCATTACAACTGGCTCCTGCCAACGCCTCAGCTAGGCCGGGAGCCAATTAACCGACCAGTTAAACCCACGGGAAGGCCTGTAGCTTACTTTGGTGTCTGTGTCAGTTCAGCACCGTTTATCCCACCTCCCCTTCATTTGAGGCAGCTATTGATAGAACAAATCAAAAATTGTGAGTCAACACCAATGGTCTCTGACACGGTTGCCCGTGGGTACCGCAGTGCCATAAGAACATAAGAGAAGCCAATGTTGGATCAGGCCAGTGGACCATCCAGTCTAACACTCTGTCACACAGTGGCCAAAAATACCAGGTGCCATCAGGAGGTCCAGCAGTGGGGCCAGGACACTAGAAGCCCTCCCACTGTTGCCCCCCCCAAGCACCAAGAAGACAGAGCATTACTGCCCCAGACATAAGAACATAAGAGAAGCCAATGTTGGATCGGGTCAATGGCCCATCCAGTCCAACACTCTGTCACACAGTGGCCAAAAATACCAGGTGCCATCAGGAGGTCCACCAGTGGGGCCAAGACACTAGAAGCCCTCCCACTGTTGCCCCCCCACCAAGCACCAAGAAGACAGAGCATTACTGCCCCAGACATAAGAACATAAGAAAAGCCAATGTTGGATC